TTGAGAGAATTCCTCGGGCAGCCTTGGACCGCTACAATCCTGGTGGATGCTTTTGTCAGCAGCCATGGCGCGGGCCCCGCTTGTATGCAAGACACGCGTTCGAGAGAAGTTGTAGCGACCAGACATGGCATTATTCAATTGTTCTGCTGTGTGGCGCAGACCTTGCCAAGGTATTTACTCCAACACATGGCTGCTTGCTTGCAACTGCCGGAATAAGTAGTATGCGGTGGTTGAGGCGCTAATCATTTCCGCTAGTCCTTTGCGATTGTTTTGCCTTCAAGGCACCAGGTCTTACACCCGAAAGCAACACATTGCATGTTTCCATTCGTTCCCATGGGCGAGTTCGAAGTTGAGATGCACATGTCAAGCAGTGAACAGTGCATTGCAGCTCAGGTTGAGTTTCCGGTCAACGACAGGCTGGGGCACGATACCTTCCCTTTTCATTGGCAAGAGCTAAGAAAATCGATGCAAGCTGAACCGCGGCTGCAACAAACAGATCTGCCTCAGGCGAAGCGCTGACAATTACATCGCCTGGTGGTCAATGCCTTCGGGCGGCTGATGCGATAAGTTTCCTGCAGGTTTCGGGTCATTTTTGGGGCACGAGCGCGGTTGCTGTGAGAGTGCACAGGACAAGCTGGAACATTCCCGAGCTCAGCGCACGCTTGAGGCGAGGCTTCACCGCTGAAGTTTGGGGCTTGCCCACTCCGCGCAGGAGCTGATATGTGCACCCAGCATCAGGGGACAGCCGCCGCAGCGAGTTCTTGTGGCGGACGAGACAAGGCGCGGCTCGTTCTTTATGCTCACGCGCAATGCCAACATGAAGTGCGCTTCCTTTTTGCGTGAGTCTGCGTTAGGCCGGTCCTCCAGCCGAGCAACGAGGCTCTGGCTCGAGAGGCCGAGCAAAGAAGGTTAGCGGTACATTCTTCAAAGCAGTGCTGACTGGTTCTTCAGTGAGGCAAGGGCTGTGCCTGTGACGGTGATCTTCACCCACGCTGCACACGCTGAGCATGCTCTGGCAGCATGTCAGGCTTCAGGCCAGGAACGTGTGCCTGAATTAAACCACCAGGGGATTGGTCCTAGGGTGCCAATTTGGGTACCTAGTTTTGACCCACAGCCATGTACCTGATGCTTGTGCCGTTGCTTGTGCCCCAGGCGTAAACTTCCACCACTGGGCCGCCATGGGCGGCTTCTCATCAGGCCTCGCCTATGTGCGGTGCTCGGAGGAGTGCTCCGCTTTGCTGAACCCACCCCACACACCCTAAACCACAACCCACCCTAAACCCAGCTTAATTGTCAGCTAAACCAACCACCCAGAATCTATCTGAATCTAACCCCCTCAAAACCCAGCCTAACCTATCCCTAAGCCACCCAAAACTCACTCTAAACCCACCTTAATGCTGAACTATACCAACCCTACACCAACCCCAAATCCATCTAACCCGCTCCGAACCCTACACTAACCCTAAAAGAAAATAACAAATCCTAAAGAACCCATCCTCAAACCACCCTAGCCCCAAACCACCTGAACCCCCCTCTAAGATTGGCCGGAAAGAAAGAACGCCCACACCAGTCGATGTTTCCCAATTTGGGGTTACGAAGTTCACCTGACGTTTGACGAGGCCAATGTGCTGCATAGTTCTGGGCTGCTTGCCCCTGCGCTTGCAGTGCCACTGAGCAGTCGGCGACTGGCTCCGATACTTCTTTGCAATTGATTCCTCATGTGACACCAGGGCCCATTCGTGTGGGTGTATCTCCCAAATGGAGCACCCTGAAATAGCTGGTTTCTGCTTGATGTCCCTTGAAATACCAACGCAAAGTGGACCGCCGTATTTGAGAAACTCCCGTGTGTAAATTTGGTTTGTGCCCTGCGCTTCAGGAAAGCGCAGCCATCCTGTCCGACTGTAAGCTTGGCCCTGAGAGCAAGACCAAGTCTTGCCATTGAGCCCATGCGAAAACGTTGCACGGCCCAAGGTCTGTCTTCACGCCTGCCGCCGAACCAGCGGCCCAAAGGCATCCATTTCCTTGAGAGTCATCGGCTTGCCAGACGCATGGTAGGTGCCCCGAAGCTGGCGCCATGGGCCACGTCGCAGTCTGAAGAGGCGCTGGAGAAACCGTTGCCTCGTTCCTTTCTTCTCCATTCTGTGATACGACCATGGGTCAAAATTAAACCACCAGGATATGGACCGCAGAGTTTAGCCCATGTTTCAATTTCCATTTATCAGGGTTTGATTTTTGATACCTATTGACCCACAGCCATATGTGCGATATTGTCGGAGAAGAAGCGGCTCGCCTTGAGGTAGCTTCCACTTCCAAGGCAGCATCCTCTGCTTCACAAGGCACGGACCTGAGCACTTGCCGCGGGCCCTCCGCAATGACTCTCAGGCGAGGCACTCGATCCAGCTCCAACCAGCGACCCAAGTGACACGGAGCCCACAATTGATGCAGCCAGCTCTGGTGAGAGGCGTGGGCTGTCTCTGTAACATGTTCATGGCAAGCATGTGATCTGAAGCGATGTATTGAGAGGTGACTCACCACCATTGAGACTCGGATGGAGGACCGGGCTGCACAGTAACATTTAGAATGGCGCTGAGATCTGATGCTGACAATTCATTCTCACATGACACGATGGCCCTGACTCGAGCTGAAGCTGTTGCGGTGCCGGAAAGCAAACTCGTTTGTGTCATCCCTGGACCACCGAATTGTAGGCTTTTGCTTGGTTTGGACAGCTCATGCTGCCCTGACCCGTCTGAAGGCATTAAGTTTCAGTTTTAGCTTTCAGCTTGGCAGGACGCGAAGATCTGCACACAGTCCTTCGGCTTGTTCATGGCTTCATTCAATGGCGGGCAACATGGTCTGGAAGTCTGGACCACTTTAGCCTGCGTGACTACATCAGCGCCGAGGTGACATTAGGATGACAAACTGGGAAGATTGCTGGCATTGGTAGTGCAGCAGGGCAAGCCGGCCAACACGGCTCTCAGCCATGCCCATGACTTCAGCTGGATGAGGAAATGGATATTCTTTCACTGGCAGACAGATGCAACTTGGCGAGGTGAACCTGGCATCGGCGCCAATGCGACTGGTGGATATCAACTGCAGACTTTACAAGGTGGCACGCGTGGACCTAAGACCATGGTGAAGTAAACAAGGGCTTCAATCAGTCGAGGGAACTTCCAGCAAAGCTTTCCGTGCTGGAAAGAATCTGCACACATGACCACATATGAGGACAACATGACGGGATCAGCGTTGTCAAGGGTTGAGAATGAATGATGAAATCAGCCTGAGACGATAGCCGACTCTCTCGTTGCTCGAAAAGAGCTTGCCAAAGAATGCAGATGGAGCAGCGAGCAAGCCGTCTGCGCACTCAACGGACCGCCATGCAATCAGAATGCCACGGAGGATATTGATTGAAGGGAATCAGGTGATGGTGCCTTGAGCGTCACTTGGACAAATCTGTCCTGAACACCCGAAGCAGCGGAGTCTCAGTGCTTGTCGGAAGCCCGGAAAGTGGAGAATACCGATTGACAGAGGCTGAAAAAACTGTGCAGCACACTGACTGCCAGGCTGTGTGCATGACGCAGCTAACATGCCCGTCTAGCCTACCCTCTCCTAGACTAACATGGAAGCTCCCAGGACCTCTTTGGAAGACTTTTGCTCCTTCTGGGAGCTTCCATGTTAGTCTGAGGGAGTGTTTTTCCATCCCGCAGCTGTAATTGGCCAACAGACGGAAGAAGACAAAGGGGGACATGTCAAGGCTGAAGTCAATGTGTGTCGACTGCGTCTGCAAGCAGATATGAGTGTGTCATTTTAGGGGACCCCAAAATGGATTCGGTTTTCCTTTTCGGATTCCCTCTAAACCCACCCCACAAAAATCCGATGCCATGACGGCACCAAAAAACCTCGCCTTGTTTGTATCCGATGCTGGCGCTCGCCGCGTCCTGCCTTCCGTGGGCTTACGGCTGGAGCCTTTGATCAGGTCCGTGCTAGAAATGGACCAGAGATGTCTGTGGGTTGTCAAAACCAACGGTACCATCTTGGGGTGATCTTGCATTTGGGTTTTTGAAGATATGGCTGTGGTCAAAGCCGTTTGATCCCATTTCGGTTGGCAGGTGAATTCACCACCCATTTTAGAACCAAGTTTTTAGTGGGGATTGGGATGTTCACTGGGGGTACGATTTGGATTTTCACCCATGGCCATATTGCAATCAATGATTTCTTGATATCCATGGGACATGGGACACTATGACAGCATTGCATCCGTGATACATGGGACTTTGTTTTTTCATGTTGCGAAGTTCTTGCAACAAGTGACAGTGTTTTTTTCCTTTTGTCGGTTTATGTTACGAGGCTCTGGCAATCAGTGACAATCTGCGCATGCTTTACTTGATGCTAAGCCATAGCTCAGTACTTGAGCGAGTTTGCATTCGCAGGCCATGCTGGAGACATGAATGAGATTCTCGCAAGACCCTTAGACAAGGAGGCCTTGAGGAGGCAGTGAGCCTGTGAGCCCGCGAGCCTGCATCATGCGGTTGGTTCGACTTTTTCCGAAGTCAAGGTTTGGTGTTGCCTTATTCGTGTCAGCACATATGTTTTCAGCTGCTTTTTGCAAGGCAGTGATGAAGCAAATGGAGAACGTTCCGGACGGGACCGTGCAAGCTCATGATATTTTGTTGGTAGGTCTGGCCTGCTCTCAAGTGAATTCTCAAGCATCCAACATTGGAGAGGCTGAACTCCTGCCACAAGCTGTCTTTCTCAGTGACTTGATTGATTGCATGCAACACGCAGCTGATGCATGGTCGCTGTAGCAGGTTCAGTACGTCGATTTTTTCCTCCACTGTCCCCTCCTTTAGCGCCCTCTACAAACAGCACAACATAGATAGCTGTGATGTGTTTGTAAACGGTCTCGCCAAACATAGACAATGACACACAATACTGTTTTCACGCCCAAGCAACCAGCCTCAGCTGCAATTAAGGCCGGGTGTCCTTTGCAATTCATTTCCTGGATGTGCAACCACTGTGACACTGCACAGCTAGCACTAGACCTTGAGCGATTTGTTGGTCTGTGTTGCAAGGGTGAAGGGACTTACCATTCAGCGACAAGCGCTACTTGCCTGCAGCATGTTTCTTCTCGCAGGCAGAATCAAGTTTGGGGCTCAGGTAATCCTTGGCACGTCATCGGATTCACACAAAACATGTTCATTGGCTGTCGTATCTTTGAAGTCGAACAGAGACACTTGCGCACGATACCACACATTGCCAGCCTTGCTGCGTAGGATCCACCAGTCACTTGGCGCCAGATATCAAAGGACTGCTCCTGTCCACCACACGCCATGGGGCAGGACGCATTTGGCAGGAGCAACGCTGCAGCTACTGTCGTGCCATTGCTGGGCACTGGACCGAAGCCTTGAGGCAGAAGAGCAAGAGTCATCCCCTCAGCTTCCGGAGCATATGGGTATGGGTCAAAATTAAACTACCAGGGGACCGCAGGTGTTTAGTCCATGTTTCCATTTACCAGGGTTCGATTTTGGGTACCTATTCTTGACCCACACCCATATTTACCATGCAGGAGTTTCAGTGTTCGCATCGCAGCCATGCGCAGGTTTACCCCGGAAATTGAGCGAGGCTGGCTGGCGAGCAGACATGCTCCGCGAGTATTTCTTTGCACTTGTGTCTTGCAAGTGAACTGCACCTCTCTGGAGGGTGAACAAAAAACCGCAGGGAGAGTACATGGACACCTTGCACAAAGCTTGCGAGGACCGAGCAAAGATTTGTTCAGCCTTATTGATTCAAAGTCATTTCACAAGCATTCACCGCCTGAAAAACAGCCTCCGGTGAGAAGCAAAGACTTTTTATACAAAGCAAGAGTCAAATGATATGTTGGAGTTTGGACACTAGGCCATTGCTGCAAGCGACTGCCAATATGCATCCTCTCTGCATGCCACAGAACGGGGACATGGGAGAGGACGAAACGGGCAAAGAATGGAAGAACAAGCACATGTGGCTGTTTCAATATGCAGCAATGTTGGATAACGTTGGACAGGCTTCAGCAACAGAAACGACTGAAACGCGAGCGCGTTTCGGCATTTCTGCAAACTTAAATGATCACTTTGCTTTGGCTGCCACGAAACCTGTCTTGTTTTGAGCATGTTGTCAGCATTGACAGAGCCCGGTTTGGCCATGACACCAGTCGGCAGGGCCAATGCTGTTGCGACCAGAACCCGCCAGGAGACTAGACCGAGTCAGGAAACAAACGACCGTGTCAGGAAACATGAGTCAAGAAATGGACAGGGGCAAGTCAAGAAACAACTGGAGGCAAGTCAAGAATGAAAGTGATAAATACTTAGATCACAACAGCAAACGAGAGTCAGGAAACGCGGAAACGTGAGTCAGGAAACGCGATTTAGAAATGATGTGGTCAGTGCTTTTGCATTGGCGGTGATGCTGGAGTGCAAGTCTGGCACTGCGTGCTTTGCGCTCTGACGCGTGCTTCGCGCATCGTTCCTTGATATCGTCATGGCTCGGATCAAGGAACAACCTGGTGTGCAAAGCTGTTCGAATCAGGGCAGAGGGGAGGCATGAAGAGACATGCGTGATGCTGGCCGCAATGCAAAGGGGGATGCAGAAGCCACTGCATGCTTTGTCCTTTGCCGTTTGCTTTCTGCATTGTGCCTTGATGTAGTTCGCCTAGGTCAAGGAAAGGCTTGCGTTTTAGGGTTGAGGTTTAGCGTTTGAGGTTTAGGTTTAGGGTTAGGTTTACGGTTGTAGGGTGTAGGCTGAGGGTTTTAAGGTTTCTCAGCATCTACAAGGAAGCGGGGGGTTGGGGGGGGGGGTGGCCCCCCCGAGTAGAAAACAAATGATGGCACTAGTGGAACAATGTGCGTGATTGTAAAACAGAATCACAGCCCTATAAAGAAGCGGGGGGCGCACCCCCCCCATTAGAAGAACAAACGTTCGAAGAAGTTTTTACATCGCGCGATTACAAACACCAGAACCACGAAGCCGAACAACGGCCCTGTTCCTGTCGTTTCCGCGTCGTTTCCTGACTCACGCTCGTTTCCTGGCTCACGAGAAACCTTATTCACTTGACTCCAAACTTCTGAGAGGGCCCTGGCACGCTGTTCCTGTCGTTTCCGGGGCCGTTTCCTGACTCACGCTCGTTTCCTGGCTCACGAGAAACCTTATTCACTTGACTCCAAACTTCTGAGAGGGCCCTGGCACGCTGTTCCTGTCGTTTCTCGTTTCCTGAACGCTCGTTTCCTGGCTCACGAAAACCTTTCACTTGACTCCAAACTTCTGAGAGGGCCCTGGCACGCTGTTCCTGTCGTTTCCGGGGCCGTTTCCTGACTCACGCTCGTTTCCTGGCTCACGAGAAACCTTATTCACTTGACTCCAAACTTCTGAGAGGGCCCTGGCACGCTGTTCCTGTCGTTTCCGGGGCCGTTTCCTGACTCACGCTCGTTTCCTGGCTCACGAGAAACCTTATTCACTTGACTCCAAACTTCTGAGAGGGCCCTGGCACGCTGTTCCTGTCGTTTCCGGGGCCGTTTCCTGACTCACGCTCGTTTCCTGGCTCACGAGAAACCTTATTCACTTGACTCCAAACTTCTGAGAGGGCCCTGGCACGCTGTTCCTGTCGTTTCCGCGTCGTTTCCTGACTCACGCTCGTTTCCTGGCTCACGAGAAACCTTATTCACTTGACTCCAAACTTATTGAGAGGGCCCTGGCACGATGTTCTTGTCGTTTCCGGGGGCCGTTTCTGACTAAAGCTCGGTTTCTGGATCACGGAGAAACCTTATTCACTTGACTCCAAACTTTCTGAGAGGGCCCTGGCACGCTGTTCCTTTCGTTTCCGGGGCCGTTTTTCTGTCTTCAACGCTCGTTTCCGGGCTACGAGAAGAAACCTTATTTTTTTCACTTTGACTCCAAACTTCTGAGAGGGCCCTGGCACGCTGTTCCTGTCGTTTCCGGGGCCGTTTCCTGACTCACGCTCGTTTCCTGGCTCACGAGAAACCTTATTCACTTGACTCCAAACTTCTGAGAGGGCCCTGGCACGCTGTTCCTGTCGTTTCCGGGGCCGTTTCCTGACTCACGCTCGTTTCCTGGCTCACGAGAAACCTTATTCACTTGGACTCCAAAATTCTGAGAGGGCCCTGGCCACGCTTGGTTTGTTCTGTCGTTTCCGAATCGTTCCCCTGACTCACGCTCGTTTCCTGGCTCACGAGAAACCTTATTCACTTGACTCCAAACTTCTGAGAGGGCCCTGGCACGCTGTTCCTGTCGTTTCCGGGGCCGTTGCCTGACTCACGCTCGTTTCCTGGCTCACGAGAAACCTTATTCACTTGACTCCAAACTTCTGAGAGGGCCCTGGCACGCTGTTCCTGTCGTTTCCGGGGCCGTTTCCTGACTCACGCTCGTTTCCTGGCTCACGAGAAACCTTATTCACTTGACTCCAAACTTCTGAGAGGGCCCTGGCACGCTGTTCCTGTCGTTTCCGGGGCCGTTTCCTGACTCACGCTCGTTTCCTGGCTCACGAGAAACCTTATTCATGAGAGGGCCCTGGCACGCTGTTCCTGTCGTTTCCGGGGCCGTTTCCTGACTCACGCTCGTTTCCTGGCTCACGAGAAACCTTATTCACTTGACTCCAAACTTCTGAGAGGGCCCTGGCACGTTGTGCCTGTCGTTTCCGGGGCCGTTTCCTGACTCACGCTCGTTTCCTGGCTCACGAGAAACCTTATTCACTTGACTCCAAACTTCTGAGAGGGCCCTGGCACGTTGTGCCTGTCGTTTCCGGGGCCGTTTCCTGACTCACAACATCGCATCCACATATTTCTTGACACGACCCAACCTGTTTCCTGACTTGGACCCACCAGTTTCCTGACTTCGTCCAGCCCGTTTCCTGACTCTGTTTCCTGACTCGCCCCTGACCCCCAGAGCCAGTGGGTAACACACATCCTACTTGTTTCGTTGCAGGATTCTAGAAACGCGCTGCCTGCGGATCAGGAGCGCGGACGCTTTTTTCCTTCTTCTGTGGAATTGAAGAGGGTCTGCTTGGCTTGTAAGTTGTGATTTGCAAGCTGAGCAATGCAGAACGGTCACACTGAACAGAGGCTGCTACCTCAGCATTTGGAACAGATTCATGGCAATCAAGCAGTCAGGTTCTGTCCGGTGACCTAACCACAACTGCCGAGGCAGCTCGGGTGGTTGTGCGAGCATATTTTGGAGACGGTTGGAGAGGAAGATGTTTGGGACCTCTTCCTCAAGCAGCAGGACTGACGCAGCAGTGAAACATGGGACATGTGTGGCCGGCTTGCGGCTTGGGCATGGTGGCGTTTTGCTGAAGCCCCCCCTCACTCGTGGAAGAACTGCGGGCAACAACGATCTTTTTTCCCAGGTCACGTTTTGTTCGACATGTTGGCGCCGCCGCGCTGTTGCACGGATTCATGGTGCAGGGTCGTGAAACTGGAGGGTGAGGGAAAGTCGAATTGGGAGGGAGACAAGCAGGGCCAGAGGCAGACAGACATAGAGAAGACACAGAGAGGCCCGTTAGATGGATTTGATGACGACTATTGTGCTGATGATGACAAATATGATGACGAATATGATGGCGAATATATGGCCAAGGGTTCGCAAGTCCCCCCCCCCCCTCCCCCCCCATGGTTGCCAGTCTCCCCCCCCCCCCCCCTGTGGTGTGGTTGGGGTGGTTTGTGGTTGGTCTAAGACCACCCCTCCCCCCCCCTGTCTGTGGTGGGGTTTTACTGGTTTAGACCTGGTTTAGAGTTGATCTAGTTGTAGTGGTTTAGGATGGTTTAGGGTTGGTTTAGAGTGTGTTTAGTGTTGGTTTAAAATATGTGTTTAGGGTTGGTTTAAGGTTGGTTTATGGTTGGTTTAGAGCTTTATCCTTGGTGCAGGGGTGGTTTAGGTTAGTTTCGGGGTGGTTTAGAGCGTGCTTAGTCTTGGTTTAAGATATGTACTTAGGGGTTGGCCTAATCTAAGGTTGGTTTACGGTTGGTTTAGGGTTGATTAAGTGGATTGCGGCTTGGTATGGAGTGTGCTCAGAACGTGTCAAGTGTTGGTTTAAAGATGCGTGTTTCGAGCTGGCTTTGGGTTGGTTTAGGGTTGGTTTAGGGTTGGTTTAGGGTTGGTTTAGGGTTAATTTAGGGTTAGTTTGGGTGCAGGGCGTGCCGAGGTGTGGGTTCAGGGGGTGAAAGGGCCGGTCCGGGACCGCGGCAGCAGGGCTTCTCCTGGGGGTCGGGTTCTGCCGGGGGGAACCCGGAGCCCGGGACCATATATGACGAAGATGATGATGATGATGATGATGATGATGATGATGATGATGATGATGATGATGATGATGATGGTTCAGAGTCGATGCCCAGTTTGGACAGAAAGCCGGCCATGCAAACATGCCCAAGACCCCCAGTCAACCAAGAGTACTTTTTTCAGCGCGGAGCAGCCCGCAACTGAAGCAACCAAGAGATTAACGGCTTACTGGTGGGCGGTCTTCCTGGCATCCTTTCTGCACCACGCCTGGACGAGCAAATCTTCAGGCAAAACGCAGGAGTTTTTGTGCACGATGGACGAGCTTGGTCTCAGCCAAGAAATGCTTAAAGAGATGTTCGTTGCCGCGACGGGTGGACTCTGGAATGTGCCTGCGTATCTTGAGGGTGTTTCTCAAAATGGACTTCGGACCACCTTTGGTTGGTATCTAAAAGAAAAACAAAAAGGAAACCAGCCATTTTAAGGGACCCAAGTTTTGAGAAACGCCCATGTGAGTATGGAAGGACATTCCTGCAAAGCGCCTTTGTACCAGAATGATGCGACTTTGTCCAAAGGGCAGCTCAACTGCCGGAGCTTCAGTTCTTTTTTTGAAACCAGCGGCGCAAGCGGGTTGAAACTTGGGCGAGTGTTTGGCGGTGAGTTCGCTCTCTGAGGAGTTCTGAGGGCCCATGATTGCCCAGCCGCACTTGTCGCCAGAAGCAACGGCAGTCTTTCGATGGTGAAACTTGGAACGTGCCGAGTACCAAGAGTTTCTGTGAGATTCACGTTGACCGCAGCATTCTGTTGTGCCTTGAGCTGTATGATGCTTAAGCTTTTAGGACGAGCACGCATTTCACAACAGTCTGCTTGTTTAGCACCACACATGCAAAGTGGAGAGGGCTGCCAGAGCCATCTTAGCTGACGGAGCAAACCTCCATTTGTGAGCATCATGCCATCCAGACCAGCTGCAGGCGCATGAGTTTTCGCCGGTTGAGTTTGTGGGTGGTCACATACCAGCGGCGATGCAGCTATTGTGCGCAAATTCCAGCTTCTGATTGCAGCATTAGTGGTTGGACGAGGAGTTCTAGCCTGTGAGTCACTTAATTTGTGCAGATGCTGGCGGGAACATGTCAGGCCGTGGATCCATGCAAGACTGTAGAGCCAACCCGTTGATTTAGAATTGGAGTTTGGAAGCGTTCAAGACTGCCCAATTTTACTACAAACCGATAAGGAGTTTAAACAAAACAACGACAACGATCGTGGGAAGCGACAAGCAAAGCTTGTTACGTTGGGAGCAAGCAGGCCAGACTTGTTAGCCGAACAAAAGCGGTAGCAAAACGACAACCAAAACAATATCGTGTTGCAAACAAGTTGCACGCTCTTCATGTTTTCCCAGTGCAGTTGCAAACCCATTGCGATTTTCGAGCGGGGGAGCTGTCAAAGTGTGGCTCGCGTGCTCCGCTTGTACTAAAGGTCGCGATTTCGAGTTTGAAGGTGCAGAAAACAAAACGCTCGATAAGAAGTTGAACAAAATGACAACCGACCCAAAAAAGGAACTCTAGGAAAAACACGAGGTTTTTGCACAACCTCATTTGTTCCTAAGCATATGACACAGTGCTCAGCATGTGTAGTTGTGCAGTGGATGCCCTCCGGCAATGCTCAGCACATCCAACATACTCTGCAATGGCATGCATATGTGTGCACGCGCGCGCCACACAGCACATGATCGTACTGGTCAGAAGTCATCCCTATGCAGAACACCCGTAGTGCCGTTCCGGGATTTTTGCTGAGGTCCTCACAAAAGTTTCGAGAGGGTGGGGTTTGCTTGCAGCAATTGATTGATTTGATGCGGTTGGGCATCGTGGTATCAGCTAGATGACCTAAAGCTTTGATGTGCTTTGAGTGGGTGAATTGCATGGGCCACTGTGGACCCCACAATTTGACCTATGTAATACCTACACGCAAGGTCCACAAAAGGCCATGGGCCTGTATCCATGGACCATGTAACTTTCTCTAGACTTAGTTTTGTGATACTGCCGTCTTCAAAGACTTTCGCAATGCAGTATTCTAGGATCCTATTTGCCCCCTGATCAACATTTCGTTTGATTGTAGTGTGATGCGGGGCACCTGTTTTGCCAAGACTTGTGCGTGGGAAGTGGGGGCTGATCAAAAGGTCATTTTTATGGGATGACCATTGGTTGGAAAACCACTACAAAGAAGATGTTTCCCACATGGGAAAGGCTACCCTTGGTCTCCTGGGGGGCCAGGAATATTGATCAACCCCCATATATCGACATAGCCTCCCACCCTTTTCACATGGAACCTGACGGACCATTGTCCTCTTAAAGGAAGGATGAACAGAGGCTGGTTGGGGTTCAGTGCTTCGAGCAATTCTCATTGGCGGTTGGTCTCACAATTCCCCTTTCTTGGCGCAAGCAACGGCAGTTTGTTTTATTTGTTTGCTTATTTGTTTGTTTGTTTGGTTGCTTGTTTGTTTGTTTGTTTGTTTGCTTGCTTGTTTGTTTGTTTGTTTCCGGATTGTTTTCAATTCTGTTTGGGGTGATGGGGGGATGGCAGCTGGACTGTTTCTCGTTTGGCTGTTTGAGAGGAGCGTTCTAGTTGGCAGATTCAATGAGTTGCACGCTTTTCATGTTCCATGCCCTGCTCAACAGACTCCACATTGCATAGTCTCCAAAAACCTGCAGTTGCACGATCTTACAGTACAGCATTCCAGCAGTTCTACCTTGTGCATAACGCTCTGAAAATGTTGACTGGATGCTGACACAGAGCAAAATGGCGACATGCAAGCCAGCCGCTCATTGCAGCAAGGCTAAGACATCCAAGACAGGCTACCCAGGTGTGAGGCGTAAGACCACATCCATGGACCTGTAAGAAATTGACGCAAGACAAGCTCCTGGAGGCACCCGAACAAGGCTATGCTTTAGGCTTTGCGCTTTTTTTTGTTGGCCGTGTTTTTCCCCAAGTCTTCGTTTCCTTCAGTTCAGAAACACATCTTCCGATTTGTGACACGGACTACACAGATGCCGTCAAGATGCACTTACGGCAGAAACAGTGGGAGTGCTCACGCATACACCTGGAGCAGTGCCCAAGCAATGCTCAAGCCACAGCAGGACACGTAACGGTACAGCCTCATACTCCTGTTGGTTCGACGTAGCAGCCCACCAACTCCAGCCTTCCATTCACTCACTTCTTCGGGCTACCGCTGTTGCAGGCAAAACGCCTTATGAGAGAGCAGGGAAATGAATTGCAATTCGAGCTGATCTGAGAAACTTTCACTTGTCTCCTGGTGAACATCGCACCACGTGAGAGCTATGCAGGCGTGCCATGTACTGGGCCATCTACGCCCTCCTCAGTCTGAGGTGCGGGAGCCTTTCCAGCGGAGTTCACGCAGGAGAGCATTGCTCTGATTCACATGAGGGTTGATCAATATTCCATTTAGGGCCCCCAGTTTTGACCATGGGCAGCTTGTCCCATGTGGGAAACATCTTTTTTTCTGGTGGTTTTCCAACCGATGACCATGTATCACGGACCTCTTGATCAACCCCCGCATGATCCACTTGCCCATGTTGCCTCGACCTCATAGCAAACGTAGGAGCAGCTGGGTGGGCTTTGCGCTTTGACGGCGTGGATGACTTTGTAACGCTCTTGGCGGAGCTGCCGGGGCCGCCGTGCACCATCGAGTTCTGGGTACAGCCTCTCGAACTGCGCAACGGCCTGGGGCAGGACTGATCGGCCCCAAAAACGAGCTGGTTCTCGGCATGAGGGAATGACTCCCATTGTTTTTTTGTTGGTTTCCTTCAAGGGAATCCCAAACGGATCATTCCCAAAACCCGGCAGGCCATTCCCTACCTATCGCACCAGCAAGTTGAGGTACGTGTAGAGTTGGCCAGGAGATTGTGCGCTTCAACCGCTTCGGGGTGCTTTTGAGCCGGCACTCCACCATTGGTGGGAGGGTGCAGCTGCCAGCAATGCAGCTTCTGTGTGTATTTCCTTTGTTTTCTTTGCTCATGCCTTGCGTTGCAGATTCGAGTTGAGCAATTTGAAGGTGCTTCTGTCAGTGGAATACCTGGGTTCCCAAGTCCTCTCCTACAACGCCACCGTAGACTTTGCCAAGCTAGAAGCAAGTCCTGGTGATGTGTACCACTATGCCATGGTCATGACTGAGCTTGAGAGCCTGATTTATGTTGACGGGGAGTTTGTAACACGATATTCAATGACTCCAGCAGATGTCAAAGCACTATGGCAGCCTGATGCACCCTTTCCATGGATGCTGGGTGCCAGAGTTCAAGAAATAGGTGGCGAATGGAGGACTGACGATCGATCCTTTGGAGGATTCATTGATGAAGTCAGGTGGTGGAACATCAATCGCAGCCAACGCGAAATACAAGAAAGTATGTTCCACATGGGCATCCAAGATGATCCGCACCTGATCCACTCCTGGAGTTTCGATGATCCATTCCACACAGGCCTTTGATTTGCCCGGTACCTGAAACCAAGTCTAAAGGTTGAGACCTGGCAGTAGGCCATGGATATGCAATTCGTGAAGCGCGAGGAATATCAGCAAAGCTACAGTTGAACTAAAGGTCAAAACTGCATGTGTGAAGCAAACTCGGCAGAGCAGTGCTGACATCAATTGTTTGGCAATTCTTGAAGCTGGCAATGCTTGAAGCAATGATTGCAGCAATGCTGGAAGGAAGGGTTGTAGCGTTTTTTTTTACAGCAACG